CTAAGGCGGGACTAGAACTCTCCGTCTCCTGGTGATTGGCCCAAAGTCACCCAGCCGCCTTTCATGGCTAAGGTGGGATTAGAACTCTCTGTCTCCTGGTGATTGGCCCAAAGTCACCCAGCTGCCTTTCATGCCTAAGGCGGGACTAGAACTCACCGTCTCCTGGTCTGCAGGCCAGCAATTTAACTACTCATCCAAAGTGTCTCTTTTGTTTCCTTCAGGTTTTCCAAGTGTTAAGTCCAATCCAACCTATCAGAGTGGGAGGGAGGGCAGGGGATGTTAGGGGTCCCCCCTCTTTAAGAAAGTCGATTCGGTGGGACCAGGAAGAAGAAGGAAGGAAGGAAGGAAGGAAGGAAGGAAGGAAGGAAGGAAGGAAGGAAGGAGGGAGGGAGCAGGAGGGAGGGAGGGAAGGTAGGAAGGAAGGGGAAGGGAGGAGCAGGAGGAGGAAGTGAGAGGGGTATGGAGGGAAGGAAATAAGGAAGGAAAAAAGGAAGGAAGGAGCAGGAGAAGGAAGGGAAAGAGGGACAGGGAAGGAAGGAAAGAAGGAAAAAAGGAAGGAAGGATCAGGAAGGGGAAGGGAGAGGGACAGAAGGAAGGAAGGAAGGAGAGGGAGGAAGGGAAGGGAAGGAAGTCACAGGGAGACAAATGGCTACTGATGGTTTAGGAAACACATTTTGTAGCAACAAGGATGAAATGACAACCTATCCAATTATTCAGAGAACTGTAGGATCCTGCTTATAGGAGATGCTCGAGCCCAGCTAGACATTAATCTTGCCAGTTGGAGATCCTTTAATTTGGATTCTTGTAGTGAAGGATCATTGCGCTCATTAGCCTCATTATATTGCTATAATTCTCTTCTAGCCCTGAATAACTGACATGAGAACGGGACACAGAAAGAGAGAGAGAGAGAGAGAGAGACAGAGAACAGAAAGAAAGATCTTTATGTACCATTTTGTCTCTCTTTCCAAGTTATTTGTCCACCGGATAAAAGTCACAGAATTAATACATAATATAACCTCAGGTGTGTAAAGTTGTGGGCGCTCCAACATTGGAGGTTTTTCAAAAAGGGACTGGACAACTTTTATTTATCTGAAATGATGTATATATAGGGTCTCCTGTTCGAATAGGGCCGTGATGGTGAACCTATGGCACACGTGCCCAAAGTGGCATGCAAAGCCATATTGCCTGGCACATGTGGCCTTGACTGTTTGTTTTTTGGGTTTCTGGTGTGCACGTGCATGTGCGATCAGCTGTCCTTCGCGCACGAGGCAGTGCCGAAAACCGGAGTGCGTATGCGCACCAGCTAGCTGATTGTTGAGCACGCATGCACCCTAGAACCCGGACGTTCGGCTTTTCTGGAGCGCGGCCCTGACAAGCATGCACATGCGCGATGTTTCCGCATGGTTTGCCATCACTGGAATAGGGGGATGGACTAGAAGACCTCAAAGGTCCTTTCCAACAATTATTCTATTCTATTCTATTCTATTCTAGTCCATTCCATTCCATTCCATTCTTCTATTCTATTCTGTTCTATTCTGTTCTGTTCTGTTCTGTTCCGTTCCGTTCCATTCCATTCTATGTTCTGTTCTATTTGATTCAATTCGCTTTGATTTGATTCTATATTCTATATTTGATTCTATTCTATTCTATATTCTATTCTATATTCTGTATTCTATATTCTATTCTATATTTTATGTTCTATATTCTGTTTTATTCTACATTCTATTCTATTCTTCATTCTATTCTTTGTTTGTAATTTTATTCTATTCTTAATTCTAATCTATTCTATATTCGATTATATTCTCTATTCTATTCTATTCTTTATTTGTAATTTTATTCTGTGCTTAATTTTATTCTATTCTTAATTCTATTTTATTCTTAATTCTATTCTATATTCTATTCTACATTTTACATCCTATATTCTATTATATTCATTATTTGTAACTTTATTCTATTCTTAATTCTATTTTATTCTCAATTCTATTCTATATTCTATTCTACATTTTACATTCTATACCCTATTCTGTTCATTATTTGTAACTTTATTCTATTCTCCATTCTATTCTATTCTTAATTCTATTCTACACTCTCCCTTCTACGTCCCATCTCGTCCCAACCCACCACCAACCAGCGCCCCCCCTTCCACTTCCCCCCCTCCCTCCACCTTTCGAGCGACCCTCCCCCCTCCCTCTCCTTCCTCGCCTCCCGCCCCCTCCCTCCTCCCTTTGCCAAACGGGGGGTGGGGCAAGCCCGTTTGCAGGACACGCCGGTCAGCCAATGGCAGAGGCGGTCCCAGCGGCCGAGGAGGCGGGCCCTGGCGAGGTCCGCGGGTGGGCAAAGGTAAGGAGCAGCCGGCGCGCCACTCGCCGCTTCGCCGCCTTGCAGGACGGAGCTCCGCGGCGCAGCGCAGCACAGGGGGGCGCGTCTCCCTTGCTGGCCTGGGCGAGGAGGAGGAGGAGAAAGGCAGAGCAGGAGGAGGCTGGCAGCCGGGAAAGGGGAAGCCGGAGCCCGCCGGTGAGTCTGGCCGGGTGGGGCGGCGGGGAAGGCAAGTTTCTCCCGGCTGGGCGTGGAGGGAGGCGGGCAAGGCAAGGCAAGGCAGCCTCGCTTCTCCTCCCGCGCCTCTTTTCCAGGATCGCGATGCCCAGCCTGGGGGAGAGGGCGAAGGTCGGGCTCGCTTCCCACCGGGCAGCCCCGACGGCAAAAGCTGCCATATCCCCCCCGGGCAGGAGGCGGACGGACGCCGCGCTGGGAAACAATGCCCCGGCCGCCCCGATCGCGCTGCCCCTGCCCAGCCCAGTTCCCAGCCGCGCGGCCGGGCTCGTTCATTCATTCGCCGCTCCGCTAACAAAGGCTCGCCGCTGCCGCCGCCGCCGCCGCTTTGCCCAGCCCGAGGCGAGACGGGGCTGATCGGAGAGGGGAAGCGCGTAGAAGCCTCCCTTGCCTTTTGGCCTTGCCTTGCCCTTGTGGGGGGGGGGCTGTTCCTGGAGGGCCGCCCCCCCCCAAAGGAGCCCCGGGGAGCTTTGGATCTGGACAACCGCCCTGTAAGGTAGGCTGGCGAGAGAGAGGGAGGGAGAGAGGAGAGAAAGGAGAGGGAGAGAGGAGAGAGGGGAGAGACAGACAGACACAGAAACAGAGGCAAACAGAAAGGGAGGGAGGGAGGGGGGAGAGAGACAGAAAGAGATGGATAGAGAAGAAAGAGGAGAGACACAGAGAGAGGGAGGGGAGGGGAGAGACAGAAAGAGACAGAGACACAGAGAGAGGCAAAGAGGGAGAGGGGAGAGAGACAGAAAGAGAGAGACAGAGGGATGGATAGAAAAGAGAGAGAGGAGAGACTGAAAGAGAGACAGAAAGAGAGAGAGAGAGAGAGAGAGAGAGATGGATAGAAAAGAGAGAGGAGAGACAGAAAGAGAGAGACAGAGAAGGGAGAGAGAGAAAGAGAGGGGGAGAGAGAAGAGGGAGGCAGAAAGAGAGAGAGAGATAGGGAGAGAGGAAGGGAGAGAGAGAGGAGAGAGGGAGGGAAAGAGACACAGAGAGACAGGCAAAGAAAAGGGGGAGAGAGAGAGAGAAAGAAAAGAGGGGAGACAGAGAGAGAGGCAAAGAGGGAGGGGGAGAGAGACAGAAAGAGAGAGAGAGAGAGACAGAGAGATGGATAAAAAAGAGAGAGGAGAGACAGAAAGAGAGGGGAGAGAAGAGAGAGGCAGAAAGAGAGAAAGACAGGGAGAGAGGGAGGGGGAGAGAGAGGAGAGAGAGAAGGAGAGAGAGAGACAGAAAGAAGAAAGGGGAGACAGAGAGAGAGAGAGAGAGAGAGAGAGTCTCAGTTTCACCCAGTCAAGTTCTCTGCTGGGTCGGAGCAGGGATGCAGGAATCCAGATCCAGAAATCGGTTCCCCTGACTCATTTTCTCTTATTAATTCCACTTTTTAAACTGGGGGGGGGGGATTAGAAGCCAGAGGGGGCCGCGTGGAGACAAACTAGGGTTAGATTTAACCAGGGTTAATATATCTGCTGGTCTTGGGGATTTCTCCCCCTCCCCAACTCAGCCTGGTTGATTTAGTTGATGGTGTGAAAGATTGTGTGATTTCCCCCCACGTGGAGAGAAGCTGCCCTTTAAAACTTAATTTTTTTCCATCCTTGGCTGGATTGAGCAGCTTTGGGGAACAAAAAGGTGAGTTTTTCTGGAGTGAGATGGGCGGCGTATAAATTCAATGAAATAGTTAGATCAAATTAAATAGATTCAACTAATTGGTTAAATTAAATAAGTTAAGTCATCAAATGAAATGATTAAATTAAACTAAACTGTTAACAGAGTTGGAAGGGACCTTGGAGGTCATCCAGTCCAACCCCCTCTCCCGCCCAAACAGGAGAATGAATTAAATAAAATAATCAAATTAAATTAATAAAGGGAAGCGTTATGGTGAGTTTTGGGTTTGCCAAAGCTTGCACTGTGGAGACGACAAAAAGTTATTCAGGTTTGGTCATTAATAAAATGATCTGGCCATTAGTAAAAACTTTGCTCAATGGATTGATGGTTAAAGCTTCCTGTACATGGGTATAGCTGGGATTTTACATCATACTAACCCGGTTTGACTAAACCATGGTTTTGGGTTAGCCACACGTAAGACATTCCCCCACAAAATTCATTTCCAAGCAACAGTCTGAATTTTATAGTAGCCCCCGCCTCCCCCAAATAATCTGTCTGACAGTTTTGCCTGGTGGCTAAAATAGCTCTTGGGTGTCTTTCTTGAGCTAATCCGAATTCTGAAGAATTGCATTTTCTAAATGCAACTTCCTGCTTTTTCCAGCACTTTGTTTTTATTTGGAAAACTTTAAGCTCTGAATGTAGAATCCTTTAGCAAGGGCTGATTATAGCAAAATAGTCCTTTAACCATTCCGGTGCTTACCAAACAACAACAATAATAACAACAATAACAACAACAATAATTTATTTTAAGAAAATACTTGGTCGATATCTAGGATGCTGGCAGCATTCTGTATCAACCATCAGTGACAGTTAATATTTGTGATACATTTTTAAATGTTCAGTTGACTCGAGTTTCAGGTTTAATAAATAAAAGTTTAGTAATAATATAACTATGATACCGTTTTAAATGTTCGCTTGACTTTCATGTTTAATTAATAAAGTAATAATGATAATAATATAATTGTGATACATTTCTAAATGTTCAGTTGACTTGTTTCATGTTCAATGAATAAAGTATACTATATTATAATAAATAAATAATAATAAATAATATTTGTGATACATTTTCAAATGTTCACTTGACTGAGTTTCATATTTAATGAATAAAATAATGGTAATAGTAATAATACAATAATACAATTATGCGATCTCCTGTAAAGAGTCTCGTCTGATTTAACGATTTAATGAGTCCTGTAATTGGGGTCTCTGATTTTTTTCAACCTCAGCAACTTTCAGATTTGCGGGATTCGGCTCTTAGAATTCCCTGAGGAATTCTGGGAATTGAAGTCCACACGTCTTAAACTTGCTGGGGTTGGGAAATATTGGTCTATTCCATCAGGTTGGGGGGGGGGGGTCGGAGGTCAAAGATCAATAGAGGCTATATCCCACTTGTACTTTAAACCTCTTTTTTTTTTCTGCAACTTCCTCTTACTTTAAGCCCACGAAAGATGCAACTTTCCATAACCCTAATTGTGCCAAAGTTGATGGCATCTGGCTCCATAATCAAGGGCCAACATTGCAATGCAATTAGTCTTGAATTACAACCATTTCCTTTCGTGACTGTTCCAGAGTTACAGCAGCACTGAAAAAAAGTGACTTATGACCGGTCTTCACACTTAACAACGATCAAAATTTGGATGCATGGTAACTGGTTCATATTTATGACGGTTATCTCAGGTCACTCTGTTCCCCTTTGGTGACCTTCTGGCAGGCAAACTCCTCGGGAAAACCAGATTCACTGAGCCACCGTGCTAGTCCCTTAACAATTACGGTGGTTTGCTTAACAACCGTGGCAAGTCAGCTCGTAAAACGGGGCGAAACTCACCGAACTGCTGTCTCGCTTAGCAACATAAATTTTGGAATTCGGTGGGGGTCGTAGGTACAGATTTACCTGTACAGGTAGGTCTGAATTTATAATGGAGCCCAGAATTATGGTTGTACGTCTTGCCTGTTGGAAATTTTGGGCTCCATTGCGGTCATAAGTAGAGGACTACCTATAAACAGGGGTCTCCAACCTTGACAACTTTAAGACTTGTGGACTTCAACTTCAAAGCTGGCTGAGGAATTCTGGGACTTGAAGTCCATAATTCTTAAAGTTGCCAAGGTTGGAGACCTCTGACCTGTAACACATTAACCGAATCTGGTTGACCTTGCTTGTCAGAGGGTTGCAAAACGGGACCACATGACCCCGGGATGTTGCAACCATCATAAATCTGAGTTAGTTGTCCAAATTTTGATCATGTGACCATGGGATTGCTGCAATGGTCATAAGTCGGGGAAAATGGTCATAAGTCACTTTTTTCAGTGCCATTGTAACAGCAGTCACTAAACGAACGGTTGTAAATCCAGGACTATTTGAGGTGCATGATTGCCCTTGATTCATCGTGGTTTGTGGTTCACAAACCTCAATGTGACATGCATCGGACCCACAAGCTGGTTAATCTTTGGGCAAGAGGGATTTAAATATATATATTTATATATATTTATATATATATGCGAAATCCCCCTCATGCATCATCACAAAATCTCCAGAACCGTAAAGCCTACAAACTTGAAATTTGGCACGTATGTTCCTCTCGGCTTCTAGGTGCTCACTAAGAAAGGATTTTTTTGAAATAACCATCAGAGCATTTAGGGTATTTCCTATATTGTTATTATTAACACGCTCTGATGCTAAGGAGTTCTACTCCCCCTCCCCACCTGAAAAGAAATCTCTTCCAAATGCAAAACACGAGGAGAGGAGTCTCAGTTTCACAGCAGCACCAAGCAGCTTCAGTACAGAACAGTTGAGCTAAGCCACGCCCAGGCTCCTTGCTGTCTCCTTCTTGCTCACACAGCTAATATTCTTTTAGTTTCCAAACAGCCCTCAGCTCTCTCACACACTGACAGAATGCTAGCCAGAGGAATACTGATGGATGCTGGTAGGCAGAGGCAGCATTTTCCCCCCTTATACACACACACAGATAGATAGATAGATAGATAGATAGATAGATAGATAGATGTCTGCAAAGTTCAGCTATTTTTAAATGCTTAGTGGAAGGAAAGCTTTATGGAGCCTTGATATTTCTCCGTGTTTAAGTCATAGAAACGACTTGGGTGGCTTGCAATCAAAAGTTGACCCTCTTCCAGATGTGTGGACTTCAACTCCCAGAATTCTTGGCAGCCTCCCTGCTGTTCCTGCGGGAAGGAGCTCGTGTGAATGGCCGAAGTGTGGTTTGCTGCCGCCTGGTTTTTGCTTTTATTATTTCTTTCAGTCTGGGGTCCTGGCTGTTGTCTCCTATTCAAACACCAGCCAAGACAGGCCCAGTTTGGCT